TTTGCATAGTCAATGAAACACAGATAGACATTCCTCTGGTATTCTCTGCTTTCAGCTAAGATCCATCTAACATCAGCTACAATATCCCTAGTACCACGATCCCTTCTAAACATCCAAATGACATACTAAGTATTTAGAGTTCTATAGATACATTGGAAGAATATTACTATCTACTTGCAAATTAAGTGTGAGTAATGTAAAACAACACAAACACTCAAACTGTGCTAAGTAAAATATTTGAAAAACAGAACCAACACAAAATTCCTTAGATGACCTTTTTATATGTTTATGGACAAACAATACAGCAGGTTTCTGATTTTGCTGGTTTTGCTCTCAAAATGTAGTCCTTGCTTAAGAATGGCTTAATGCTAGTAGTTAATGCTGAAGCTGAGTGATGAATCTATGGAGTTCATTATACTGGTCTATTTATTTTATATAGTAGTGTCAGGGAGAAAATGCAAAATGATTAAGATGAAAAAAGGAAACACAGTATCTTACTCTTTCAGCTCGCTGTAAATTGGCAGGACAGATGGGTGGCAGACAAACGCAAATGCAATTGTTGGTAAAGCATAAACGGTCTGTTTGAAAGAAAAAAAAACACATTATCATAAAATCTCTACACATCTAGTATTTCTGAGCAAATTGTGTATCTAGTTCCTCAGAATCCCTGGGTGATTTCGTTATTAGGAGAGTTTTAGCCACTAACATGACTCAAAACTTTTTGCTGTTAGAACTGGCTCAGAGGTTTTTTGAGACTGTACGTCACACAGCCTTGAAAGGGAGGAGATTATCCTTATTTCTCCCACAGTGCACGTGGTGGATTTGAACCTTCTGCCTTTGGGTTGGCAGTGCAACTCTCTAGGGACTAGGACATTAAGATTACAGTAGCTTACCAAGACAGTTTACCTATCATGAGACCTTTTCCAAGAAAGCTTACCTAGCATGAGACCTTTGCCATACTAGAGTCTCAGAGTCAGTCAGCTCCGCTACAAGGTATTTTACATGCTTCAGGCATAGCCATGCCCCATTTCTATATGGCACTAGCATGAAAACGCTAGGAAGCAGCCCTACTTTGTATATCTCTTTCATGAGTTGAAATGGAAGAGGCAGCAAGTAACAATAACAACAAAGGGAAAGTACTATGTAGTTTCCCTGTATTATCTTTCCGGGCCTACAAACAACCCTGGGGGGCAGGCCAACCATTGCTGTCTTACTGACTCCCTCTGACAGGTTAGGGAACTTGTCCAAGACTTCCACTTCTATTTGCTGCTCTTTTGTTTGTACTGGGGGCATTAAATTGGACTTAAACGATGGAATCTAAAAAGAAATTATCTTCACATTCACCTCTATGGCTGTCATCTTAGTGTTAAAAAAAGAGTGCAACTTATATTTAGAGTTTTCTTATTTAAGTCTTTTTAAGGGAGTTCTGGTGGCCTAGGAGCAAGAAGTTGCACTTCAATCCCAAAGTCAAATGGTTTGAATTCACCAGCTGCTTCATGGGAGAAAGATGGACAGTCTCCTTCTGTGTGATTAACTGCCTCTGGGTCAGCTACGGTGAGGTTCTTACTTGATGGTACACAACAAAACAACAACAGCGAGTCTTTTTAAAGCCTTCAAATTCAATGAAAAAGGAAGCTTCTATAAAAGGAAGCTTGCAAATAAGGGAGAAAAAACAGGATTTATAATGTTCTGAATATGCCCAGATACTCATACCAGGAACTTTACAACAAAACTCTGAAAGATACAGAAGGGAATCCTCATTTTGACACATGGTTGGAGGGCTTAAATGAAGATTTCAAAAGCAAGGCTAACTTACTCACTGTTGTTATGTGCCATCGAGTTGCCTGCAACCCATAGCAACCCTATGTACAGCAGCTCTGAACTCTTCAGTGTCCTGGGCCAGTATCACTAATTCCACCACCCCATCCCCATTGCCCTAGCTACTGTATCAATCCAACCCATCTGGGGTCTTCCTCTCCTGTGCTGCCCCTCAACTCTTCCGAGCTTGATGTCCTTCTCCAAGGACTGGTCTCTCCTGGCCAAATGCCCAAAGTATGTGAGATGGAGCTTTAAAAATCCTATCCTCCAAGGAGAGACTTAGTTTCACCCTCTCCAAGACAGAACTATTTGTTTTCTTGGTGGTCCATAGTACATTCAAGACCTTTCTTCAGCACCATAACTCAAAGTCATTGATTCTTCGCCTGTCATCCTTAGTCATTGTCCAGCTCTCTGATGCATAATAAGTAATTGGCAAAGATCATGGCAAGGATTAAGTGCACCTTAGCCTCTAGACTGATATCATTGCTTTTCAGTACTCTGGAGAGGTCCCTGACAGCAGATATCCTCAATGCAATTCATCTTTTGATTTTCTGAGTGCTGGTGTTAAGAGTGTTAATTGTGGAGCTGAGAAAGCTGTAATTGTTAACAACCTCTATCCCTTCTCCATCTATCACAGTGTTGCCAATTGGCCCAGTGGTGAGAATCTTTGTCTTTTTGATATTGAGCTTCAATCCATATTGAAGACACAGTCCTTGACCTTCTGCAGCAAGTGATTCAGATTTTCTTCCATTTCAGCAAGCAAGGTTGTGTCATCTGCATATCGTAAGTTGTTGATGAGTCTTCCTCCAATCTTGATGTCACACTCCTCCTCATAAAACCCTGCTTCCTGAATGATCTGTTCTGCATACAGATTGAAAAGGTATGAGGAAAGGACACATCCCTGACACACTCCTTTCCTGATTTTGAACCTACAGTGTCTCCTTGCTCTGTTCTGAGGACTGCTTCTTGGTCCAAGTATAGCTTTCACATAAGCACAATCAAGTGTTCTGGGATTCCCATTTTCTTCAAGGTCAGCCACAATTTGTTGTGATCCACACAGTCAAATGCCTTTGCACAGTCAATGAAACACAGATAAACGTTCTTCTGGTTCTCTTTGCTTTCTGCCATTAGCTATAACGTCTCTATGCCATGACGTCCTCTAAACCCAGCTTGTATTTCTGGTAGTTCTCTGTCAATGTACCATTCCAGTCATTTCTGGATAATCTTCAGCAGGATATTTTTCAATAATTTTCACACTCTATCAGATCACCTTTTTTTTTGGAATGAGAATAAATATGGATCTCTTCTAGTCAGTTGGCCAAGTAGTTGTCCTCCAGATTTCTTGGTACAACTTGGTGATCATATCCAGGGCAGCATCTGTTTTTTGAAATACGTCAATTGGCATCCTATAAATTCCTGGGGCTTTAATTTTTTACCAAGTCCTTCAGAGCAACCTGATCTTCCTCTTTCCTCACCATTACCTGTTGACCACACGCTGCTTCTTGAAATTCTGCTGTGTCAGCCAATTCTTTTTGGTACAATGACTCTGTATACTTTTTCCATCTTATTTTAATTCTTCCTGACTCATTCAATATTCTACCCATAACATCCTTAAACATTGCTTCATGGCTTGAATTTGTTCTTTGTTCCTTCAGCTTAAGAAATACTGAGCGAGTTTGGCCCTAAGTACCAATATTATTCACAATACCTCAATGGCATCAAAGTTTTTTAGTTCCCAATTTTTAGTGATATTTGTATTTAAATTGCATGAGCTCAGAAAATTTTTTACATTGTTTTGTGTCATCACCATATAAGAAGCACTTGGCTAAGGACCCTATTAATTTATTTCCTAAAACACCATCTAGTGCTCTCTACATAGGAAGGAAAAAAGCTGAGGTAATGACCCGGACAGATTATTTACAAAGAGAATACTTACATGTAAGAGGGAGCATGAAATAGTATATTTATTTTTCAAAAGTCTCTAAAATGGATCAGGGGATACAGAAGCAATGATATTTTTATTTTGGAGAACCAACACATCCAAACACAAGCAGTGCAATTATAGCAAGTGAGAGAAATATAATTCCCATAATAATATTCTTTTAAAAAAACTCTCAAGGGCAAAGAAACTTACTTTTGAATTGAAGGTAACATATTTTGGAGTACACATGTCAGCATTTGTTGAATTAACACTGGCTGATGAGTTGGAATGTAGCTCTTGAACAACACAAGGAATTTGAAATTTCTTATAGATAACCTGGTATTAAAAAATATAGATGAATTATAATACAGATGTTGTATAAAATAACTAACATTATCACATTATATTATAATGTACAAATAAATCAACCATTTCAATCTGCACTTACCACTATTAGGAAAAAAACCATACAACTCAACGAAAATCCACTAGTGTAGCCAAGATATCCTAAAATAAGAAAAAAGGGGATAATATCTTTTATTGTCACTATTATTTCATCCATAATATTATATCTTTCAGTTAATTACTTCAAGCATAGTTTGGGTTCCAATATAAAGGAGTGCCAAATATAGTGACTATTATTATGTCACAGTGCTACTTTATTGACAAAAATCAACACTGTGAATAAGAGTACTTAATATATATATTGATTCCAATTCTCCTTGGCAAACTAAAGAATACAGGTATATAGAATGCAGAAAAAAACAGCCTCCCAATTTTGGTCCTAGGTCTGTGTTGCTATCCTTTGATGAATTTCTATGGGGAAATTCTTGATCCACTCCATAGTTCTTAATTCTATATTTGTTTAATAGGCACACTGAATGCCAGCTATATTACTTCTCTCCCCAGATGGAGGCATGCACAGAGGAGATGAAGTGAATGTCTAGGGATAAATTGAGTACCTGGGGATCTTCACCTTGCTCCCCTCAGAATGCCTGGGAGATCTCCAACCACCGTAACCTCCAGAAAGGCAGAGTTAAGTGGCCTCTGAGGGGCTGCACTATTCTCATCCCTGGGGGAGAAGAGCCCTTCTCTACTTAAACCGAAAGGAGCTACGATAGACATAAAAAGCCTAAACACAGATCTAGAAGGCAGAAAATTAAGTTGTTACAAAAAATATCCTTATAAATAATACAGAACTACAACAGTTTGATATTATTCATCAAAAACAAAATAAAAAACATTAGTTTTATCATTTTTGGAAGCTCTTAATTCACATTTCTGCTTTGAATTCGTGGTATGTAAAAGGCAATGCATGTTAAAGACTTTTTGACTGGATGGCAGTGTAGCCTCATTATTCTATATATAAGATTCCCAAAATATCATTAAATAAAAGACAAAAAGAAATGTCAAAACTAAATGGGTATGAATAAAAAATATCCATCATTTTTCACTTTTCATGCATTAGAATTGAAAGTCTACTTGCCCGTTTAATCAGAGTGTTTAAAGCCTCGTATAAAGAGGGTCTTTCTTTGCTTTTTTATTTTTTACTATTTCCAAAACACATGTAAATTGAGCTACTGGAAATAGTCTTTTACCAAACCCTGAATGATGTAGTTAATGCTCTTGATTTGTAACCAAAATGTTAGAGGGTCAAGTCCACCCAGAGCACCTTGGAAGAAACAACTGATGATCTACTTCTGAAAAAATAAGCCATTAAGACACATGTGGAGAACTGCTCTGTGACACTATGGAGTTGACATGCTAGGAACTGGTCTTTTGGAACTTCTTAAGAACCCACAAATGTTTTCATCCCATAGTAAAGTCCTGAGTAACACTTACTTCATTTTTACCATCAAAGCAGAAGCAGAGGGCAAAACTGTTTATTGTTACCAGGTGTCTGACTCATTAAGGCACTGGAGAGATTAGGACAAAGTAAGCTCTTTCCTTACCTAAATTCTTCAAGAGACACAGAGGGAGAATTATGCCAAACGTAACAATTACCACCAGAATACGGCCATCCACATACCAGGCTCTGAAAGGCATTTAAACAGTTATGTCATATTTTCCTAGAAAATATTTCCTTTATTTAAAATTTCATGATATATTTTAATCCATTTTCCATTTATTTATTTATTTAATACCATCCCTCGGGTTTTATCCAAACACTTTAATCCCAACCGCTACCCATTTACTACTGCCTCACTCCTACGTGAAGGAAGAAGGTACACGGCAGCTCCTCCCAGTCCATGGGCTAAATGTGGCATTCTTTTGAATTATTAAAGTGGTTTCAGACTTGAATGCACACATTGCATTCTGTCAGATTACAACTTGTTTTATTAATTATTTAAAGGGAGAGTCCCTTTAGGTTTTACTTGGCTAATATCAACGAGAAACTGTCACCAGAGGTAGGCATTTCTGTCTCCCTGATGCCTTGTATTTGACTTTGTATCCTGAGAATAAAACACAAAGACTTCTGGCTGCCATGGTTCCCCCTTGAAAAGAAACAGAGAGACTAAGACTGACAAGAACAGCTAAACAAGAGGGAGTCGAAACATAACATAGGCGCCAAATGCAGCTGCAGTGTTTTCCTGGGTTAGCTCCATATTTAATGAGGTCGGCTCATGTAAATTTTGCTCCCAAAATTCTATGTACCTTCTTCAGGAAAGAAACCAAGGTCTTGATTTTTTTTTTAACATGTTCCACTTCTGTGTTAAAAATACTCCCTATCTGTTCTACTTCACGGAAACTAGATATAGATTTCAGGCTCTTGGGAAAATGCAGTGTCTACTCTCTGTTGCATGAACAGATGACTTTACCTTTTAAATGCCTCTTCCCTGCTTCTTTTATTTATACAAACCCAAAGAAATTTATTGCAGAAACAGCAAATAAAGGAAAAGCTAGCCTAGGAAATCGTTTCTGGAGTTTTCGTCACACACATACACTTTGGTTTGTTCACATTATAATTAAAAATATGTCCATTACTTAGGGGGGAAAAAGTCTATAACTTACGAAAATGACTCTTCTTTTCCCATTAGAAACTTTATGGCTGAGGGCAGTTCATTTTTTACTATGAAGAGGTAGCTCAGCATTGCTGGGGGAAAAATGAGAATGTTTTTAGAAACAAGATACTAAGGCTCATGTTGCAAACTATTCAAAACGTTACCTGCCCTGCTCTTAGGTCAGCAACATTTAATACAACTCAAAGATGGCCTTAGACACCTTTGCAGCACCCCTGATTGTAAAGAAATTACTGAATTAATTCATAGAAGTCCTGATGGCAAGATGTTGGGTTGCTAATTGAAAAGTCAGAGGTTCAAATCTACCAGTCTCTCTGAAGGAGAAAATATGAGACTGTTTATTCCTATTAAGACTTACAACCTAAAAAAAAGACAAGACTTACAACCTCAGAAACCCAATGGAAGGTCTACATGGATTAGAATTAACTCAGATCTGTTGTTCATAAGGTTGCTCTGACTTGTTGTTGACTTTGTTGTACCTAACAACTATAACAACAACATGCTTTGCTTTCCATGAGGATTATAGCTGACTGATTTGTTAAAATTTATAACGCATATCTCTCAATCACTAAAATTAGAAAACATATGTGATGCTTTCCCACTTCAAAATGATGTCAAGAGAGCATGCTCCTTTTACCTCCAGTGTTCTGTAGAGATGTGGCTCCAAAGATTACCAGCTTTCCTGTAGTGCCAAAGACTTGTTCCCCCAGCTTTTCATAAACCATGCAGCCTATTGAAAAGAAAATTTGAGAACGCATGAAAATAACAAGTCTTAAAAATAGACAAAGTTCATCATTCTTGGATCATTCTCCATGATAGCGTATGCCTTTCTTCAAAAATCATCCAAACAGCCTTTTTGATTTTGCAAGGGTTAAAGACAATCTTATAAAATAACGTTTTGATATTTTCAAATGCCTGACATGGCCACAATTTCTCCTTTTCCAAGCTGACAACAATTAAACTATTACATCATAAGCCTTATTTTTTACTTTCTTGAATCATCCTACTTTACATGGGGGAAATTCCCCTTTAGGTCTTACTATTAGGTCTGGCTTGTATCACTAAAGTGGAAATTTTATTTGAAAACATATACCCTAGTGGTTGGAGATGGAATGTTTACTCTTAAATTAATTACCTGAACTGATTAGACTGACAATGAATTATCTTAATACGATCTCATCCACACTACATGTGTTCTAAAGATAACAAAAACCTACTTTTTACAACAGCAGAATTACGATCATCCTGAAAATTTTGTTCAAGGACTGGAACTCTCAAAGGATAATTTGTACCAAAATTCTAAGGTTTTCCGGGATTTCTTCTCAAATACAAAAAGTCCAACTTACTCACTTTTTAAAAAGTGTTTATTCTTTTGACATTTTATTAACTTACTAGTTTGTATTTTCAAAGATTCACAGAAAGCAATATGAGTTGGGCTATAATTAAACCTTTGTTTAATCTCTTAAGACTGGTGTTTAAATTAGACAATGCTTAGATCCTCAATCTATTACAAAATGTTCCAAATGCAGTTGTCTATGTACAATAATAGTTGGCCAATGTGGTTTGAACTAATGTAAAAGTCAAAGTATTACAAACATAATTCAGTATCCCAGGAACGGAAAGTAAACACTTCAGGTATTACACTGCCCAGAATGCTTGAACTTTCTCCACAGTGTACTCATTCCCATACAGCCTTCAGAGAGACATTTTCTCCTTGGAATATGCACAAAAGAGAATAAGAGGTCTGCTTACTTTTATAACCTTGGAGGCTATAATAGAAAAACATGGCATCCTTGTGCTTTATTTGTAGAGACCCAAGGAAAAAGTGAAGCCGTTAAAGTGAAATCATCTTACACTAGAAAAATAGGAGTAATTGAGGATTTGCTTTAAATGAAATCCTGTTTGTTCACTGTCCACATCAATCTAAGTGACTTTTGTTACATCTATTTGCCCAGATAAACACCACTACAGGACTTGAACTTACTGTAGGTCAAGACTCTCTTGCTTTTTTATAATCAAGTTGCTGAACACGGAGAGTTATTATTTGTTACAATATCATCATTCACACTGGCCTTAGCTTACCTGTCTCCTTTGAACAGATCAAGAGAAGATTTATTGAATATATAGACAGCAATGTCACTGAAGTCAAAAGTATCCTAAGGCAAAGAAAACAAGTCTTGTTATAATAATTGAAATAGAACGCACTCTTGCCTTATGTAAGAAAGGCAAAGGTTTCTTTATACAGTTGACATTATTTTTTAATAGTTCTCAAATTTTGGAACCTATTAGCGACTTCATCTTTAACACCCTTAATAAATATGATGATACCAAACAATGAAGGGTTCATTAGAATTGAAGTAACAGACCAGATCCCTTACCGAATTCAAAGTTCAAACTGATTTCCTCTGCTCTCTGGAATTGTTGCTATTGAGATGCTTTTAAAACAACAGTTTGTAGTATCTGTTGTGTGCTTTGTTACCAAGAAAGAAAAGGCTATGGGAATAGAGGGTGAAGATAAAGATTTGCAGGGACCCTTAGTACAGTGATCATGAGAACTTCTCTGGATTCCTTCCTCATTTTTAAGACACAAACCAAACCACGTGTAAGGTTATTTCCATGTAACATTTTATGATTATTTTTTAAATCTACCCATTGGACTACTGGTTGAGATTATTAGCTTTTTTTTTTTGCACCTGGCTCCTCAAAAAAGACTAAGGATTTCTTAACTAAGGCAAAATTGTGACAATCAAGCATAGTGAAAAAACTTTTCTGAACGACAAAGCCTTTGTTTTTGTTTCAGTACATCTGGCTCATTTATCAAGCTCTCCTCAAGAAAAAAAGCACAGTTAAAATGATGTGAGAATGTACACAGATTATTTCTGACTCATTTGGTTAAAACAGACAAAGTGAAAATACAGCCCTAGCTATTAAAAAGAAAAAAAAAATTCCCAGTCCCCAAGTGAAACCACTTACTTTCTGAAGTAAGAAAATATATCCCCAGAACAACAGATTACTGCAAATGATTCCACGTTGAAGTAATTAAGGACAGTATTTTGAAGTGCTTGTGAGATACGTGGTATGTCATTTCATGGGCAAGCTCCCCACAAGTTCTTCTCCCATCTGAACACCTGTTAAAGCATGGGAACCAGGGCCCTTGGGCCCTGCTCAAGTGTGACCTCCTTTGACCCCAGGCAGAATGGCTGCCTCTTAGCTTTCTCCAGCATTTCATTTCTCTTTCATGCAGAGCAGTCATGAGATAAAGGGGGAGTACAGAATGGTCAGCTACACAGCAGATGGACTCTCTCTTCAGACAATGTCTTCAGAGATTGGCCAGAAAAACACAAAGAAGAGGTAGAGCTCAGTGGAGGCAAAACAAATATTGTGTGACGGCAGAATTGACCCTTCAATAAAGGAGAATCTAGGTCAAGATAAGACTGTAAGGAAGTATATTCAGATATGTATTTACCTAGCTAAGATCCTTGAGGGAGGAGGGTGATTAAGAGGGTAATTCCCTTATTATCTATCCTGGTTGAGGAAATTGAGAGTAAGCATTTATTAACCAACTCACCAGTTCTGAGGTAGCTAATAGACCATGATTTGATATGCTGTGCCAGAGAATACAATTGAGACATAATTGTGATGTAATTGTTTCAATCTTAGAAGATAAACAATATTTACAGTGAGGAAGAGAGCACTGAACTTCACTCAGGGTTCATTCATGATTTTAGGGGCATAGAACACTGCATGGAAACTTGCACATATCCATGCGGTATGTCCTAGAGGAGTTCTGGGTGGCATTGGATTGCGTATGGGCTTTCCAGCTAGGGATGGATGCTTGCCATCTTAGCTGGACAGTTTATTACAGAATGACCTTGTGTCCTGTTGGGTCCACTCTCCTGTGACAGGACTGGATGAAAAAAGGGGTTATCAATTACTATTAGCTCAAGGTTAATGTATGATCTAGCAGGTGTGTGTGTGTGTGTGTGTGTGTGTGTGTGTGTGTGTGGTAATTACTAACATTCACATAGTTCTTTGGTAAAGGCCCTAAAAGCCTAGGTGAACTACATAATATTAGCAAAAGAAACATTTTAAGGAACTATCTAGCACATTTCCTGTAGTTGGTGATCCCTGGACCTCCCTGACTCTTGCATCTAGCTGCCCCTTCCCACATTCTATAGGGTAAATTTCTGCAGATGATGTTCAGCTTGTATTTCACCTTTGCTGTCACCTTGGTGAAAAGTGTTGATCACGGAAAATTCCAAGAGAGTGCACGCTACTTCTTCCTCCCATTCCAAACTGAGGCCTTGAGGCCAAATGAAGCACTTCTAGGGATGACAACAGCCCCTCTTGCTCCCAGGAGACAGCAACCTTTCACCCCAGAGGGAAGAACTCCAGTATTCTTTCTTTTTTCCTCTCTGTAACATCTACTTTGACCACCCAATCTCCAAAGAATCTATGCTCCATTCCTTCCAAAATATAGAAAACCTCCCCCTCAGAGACTGAAATGAATAGAAAACAGTATCCTTTTCTGCCTGTCATGTCACTAAGAGGCAAATTACAATTCTGTGGGCTTTAGGCTATAACAGAATATTTTCAGCTTTAACAAATAGGCATTTAATGAGAATGAAATTTAAAAGTGTATCTCCTTGTTTGGATTCTTAGAAAGGAGCATTAAGTTGCTTAATTGGCTATAGAAGTTCCTAGAATATTTTATGAAGATCAAATCAGAGATGCTATGAGACAAAGAAAGAAAGGATAGCATAGAAAAGAAGGAACAAGAGACTATAATGGCGTAACTGAACAAAGGAGTGTGATTATGCCCCTATTTGTACAAATAATTGCAGTTTCCTAGAATAGAAACACAAACTAGTATTCCTATGCCAACAAAGAGGAATATACATGATTAAGGCTTTTTATTTCATCAGGATATATTTAAGTTCCCACACTGCCAACCATTCACCAAATGTTTTAATATGACTGGGGCAAAAACTGCTTGTTAGATAGGAACTAAACTTCAGCTTGCTTGGGAGCAGAGCAATAGAGGATTGGGCTGGTGTTCAGGCTGAGAGAGAAGGAAGGATCTAAAAGTTTGCTGGAAGGAAGGAACAGCTAGTATTGTGAAGAATGTTGTCAGAAACATTGGCGAATTCATGTGGCAACAATAAATTGAAAAACTCTGGGACACCCAAGAAGATCTTGGGTCACTCTTGTTTTCTGAGAAGACAGACATTTGATTGGAAACTCAGAATTACAGACTTCAGGAGTATTATTAGAAAGTATTTGGTCCAAATTTTCATTCAGTCCAAGAAACGTCTATGCTTCATTCCAACATGTAGCTATCCAGGCTCTGAAAAAAAGTGTCTTCTGATTGGGACATATTATCCAGCCCATTCAGCTTCTGGAAAGTTCTAGGGTTTAAAATTGCTGCTGAGATGAAGCTGCTGCTTCTATTTCACCAGGTGGTCCTCATTTTTACTCTCTGGAGTAAATCTAGAGTGAATCTATTTGAAATTTAACCCTTCTTCTATCTACCATTTGTGTGTTGATGGTACTCATTTTAAGTCTGCTCTTTGGCTTAAATATCTCTAATTTTTTTAGTTCTTAATCATGACACTGGCTTTTAAAGCCTGTGTATATCTAAGTTTGGTGCAATTTTGCAACCATTCTTTGAAAATATTTATATAAAGCCAATCACGGAATATTAGTTTTGGTAGACACAGCAAAAAGCATGATTGTTTTTAGATCTCAGTGAATCAATTTTAATTCACAGAAACCCTACACACAACAGATTCAAACACTGTCTGGGCCTACACTGTCCTCAAAAATGCCATATCTGAATCCATTATTTCAGCCACTGTGTCAACTCATCTTCTTTCTTGCTTATTCTCTACTATATCAAGCTCAATATCCTCTTAGGACTGATGCCTCTTGAAAACATCCTAAGTACCTGAAACATCTACATATTCTAAGGAATATTCTGGTTGCACTACTTCCAAGACAGATTTGTTCATTTTGGCAGTCCATGATATATTCAATATTCTTCATATAATAATTCAAAAGCATCAGTTTTTATTCAGCCTTCCTTACTCATCGCAGCTTTTGCATGTATATGTTGTTGTGTGCTGTCAAGTCGGAACTGATTCATAGCTGACTCTCCAGTGAGTTTCCAGAGGCAGTCTAATCACATGGAAGAGGATTGCCCATCCTTCTCCGGCAGAGCAGTTAGATTTGAACCATTTAACTTTGAGATTGCAAAGCCACAGCTTGGGTAAGGGGCATCTTAGTCTTCAGAGTAACTTCTTTGGTTTCAAACACTTTTGAAAGCCTTTTTTTGCAGTAGATTTGCCCAGTTCAATACATCACTTGGTTTCTTGATTGCTATTTCCATGGTCATTGATTATGGATCTAAGTAAAATGATATCCTTGGAAATTTCAATAAATTTTCTATTTATTATTGTGAGAACTTCTTTTTTCTTTATGTTGAGGTATAACAGGTGTAAACCATACTGGAGGCTATATAATCTTTGATCTTTATCAATAAGTACTTCAAGTCCTCTTAATTTTCAGCATGGTTGTGTTGTTTGCAAATCATGGATTGGTAATGAGTTTTCCTCCAAACCTGGTGCTGTATTGCTCACATAGTCCATGTTCTTGTATTATTTGCTCAGCACACAGATTAAGTATGGTGCAAGGATACACTTTTATTGATTTTAAACCATACAGCTCCTTATTCTGCTTGAACAATAGCCTCTTGGTCTATGTGCAAGTTGATAAGGGCACAATTAAGCTCAAATTCAAAACTTACTGCTGTCCAGATGGTTCTGACTCATAGCAAACCTACATCTGGTTTCTACATAAATCACAATGGGAAGAGATCTTTCTCTCACTTCATCACTGGTGGATTTGAACATTGGAGGCAAGCAGCTTTTGGACAACAGTGTAACTTGCTATAAAGTTTGTCACCAGAGCCCTCCTGAAGACAATGATTTATTCTGGAATTCCTATTCTTCATAAGCTAACCATAATTTATTATGATGCACACAGTCAACAAAACATAGTCAACAAACCACAGGTAATCGTCTCATCTTTCAGCAGAGATCCATCTGATATCAGCAATGATACTACCCATTCCATGCCCTCTTCTGATTCTGGCTTG